ATCCAGTGAACGTGGTCTCCTCGCTGTTAACGACACGGAGACGGAAAGGTTGAGACCTCCACATCTTCTAAACCAATTTAGCCCGACCATAGATATGGTCTAATTTCTGGGACCTCTCCACGGTGATCCTCATCCACATGTGTCCACTTTGTGTCGTCGGGTGTTCATCGCTTGTGTGATGTCCTGGTGGGGTAAAAGTCTACTACTATATGACACAGTGATGACAAATGACAGTAAATACTGATTCTTTTTCTTCTTCTGCCTTTCTTTCCCCCAATAGAGCATAGGCCCTCAACCAACTCACACCAAGTCGTTCTATCCTTCGCCATTGCATGGAGCTCTCCCCATGTCCTCCCCATCTTTCTAACCTCATTCTCCAGCTCTCTTCTCCATGTGTTTTTTGGCCTTCCTTTATTCCTATGCCCCTGTGGGTTCCAATGCAAAGACATTCTAGTTATGCTATTCTCCTGTTTTCTCAGTGTGTGCCCTATCCAACGCCAGCGTCTTTTCCTCACCTCCTGATCCACTGGAGCCTGTTTAGTTCTCTCCCAAAGTTCTACATTAGTTATTCTATCATACCATTTTATTCCCTCTATTCTGCGCAGGCACCAGTTAATGAATGTCTGTAATTTATTAGTAATTGCCTTGGTTGTTCTCCGTGTTTCCGCCCCATACAATAGTACTGATTTGACATTAGAATTAAAAAATTTTAGTTTAGTATTTCTTTTAATTTCTTTTGACCTCCACAAATTCCCTAGTGCTATGAAAGCCCCTCTTGCCTTTTGTATTCTTATTTTAATATCTCTATCAGTTCCTCCATCTTTATCTACATTACTGCCTTGGAGTGGGGTGCCATTAAGAGAAACCACATTACTATTTGCCTGATTTATTCTCATTATCTTTGTCTTTCCTTTATGGATTTTCAGACCAAGCTGCTGTGATCTCGCATTAAGTATATTTAATTTATCTTGTATCTGATTCCGTGAATGGGACAGAAGAGCAATATCATCAGCGAAGTCCAGATCATCAAGCTGTTTTGTAGGGGTCCACTGAATTCCATTCTTGGTGTTAGCAGTTACTGTTTTCATTGTCCAGTCTATAGCCAGTAAAAATAAGAGAGGCGACAAAAGACATCCCTGTCGCACACCTGTTTTTATTTCAAATGCATCTGTTAGCTTTCCCTCATGAAGAACTCGACATTTCATGTCTTTATATGTTGCCTTTACTAAGTTGATAATTTTCTGTGGGATTCCATAGTGCCTCATCAATTTCCAGATTCCCTACCAAATTCAATCATTATCCTGTTGTGCCATTATAGGTCACATAGGGCTGGCAGTCTGTTCGTCCATTCCGTTCTGTCACATGCACTCAGTTCAGTATCATGGGTGGAGTCCAGTCCAGCAACTGTGGCCTCTCTCATCAATGTTTGCATTTAGTGTATCTTCTGAGCGTCCTCGCCTCCTCAACCCCTTTATTTCCCATTTTATTGCCTGTCTGGTGATTCTCTGCTGGTTTCTTCTCAGGAGGTGTCCAATGTAGCGCCATCTTCTCGGTCTAAAACCTGTTGATGTTACTGGCTGCACAGAAATTTCTCTCATTTCTTCACTCCTTTTAAATTCATCCTATTTTATTTTCAACACTTTGCTCGGATATTTGTTTTTGGATGCACTTAACTTTCGTTCAATGTTTTTAGTGGTTTCTCCAACTTTCACTAGCACATGTTGGTGCCAAATGCTGTATATAAATGTGAGTGTCAGTCTAGCTAGCATCATATATCCGATGCACATCAGGTATTTTTCCCTTCACTTTACTGAATGTCGCTGTCTGTGGCTTAGGCGTTGCGAATGCAGAGGTACCTTGCGCTGCTTTCGAAAAGCCGACCGCACGGAAAGCAATGGCAAACTATTGGATGTAAATTTGCCTAGAAACACCACAACAGCCAAAAAATGTTGGGGTTAGTTCTGCAACGTCCTGTAAAGGATACGCAACAAACTAACTTTATGAAATACTACGGTTTGAGGTTTGAACAACGAATCAACATCATGGCGAACGAGTAGTAATCCATACGTGCTCCGTTCTACTTCTAACTCAAGTCTGAGTCGGAAAAAGCTCACCACAGTGCACAGGCTTTGTAGCACCGGGGACGATCCTGAAATACTTTAGGTAGATTTTAAACTCCAAATTTTACCCAGGCAGCGCCGTTAGGCTACTCATTTTGATTTCCAACTGCCAAGGGATTTTTTACGTGCGCAACAATGCACACGGACGTCCGATCTCACTACCCAGAGACCAGGAAGAATTACTAGAAGTCCAATTCCACGTGGGAAAAAATCCCAGCCCTTACCGGGGATTGAACCCTGAACCTCTAGCGCTCGAGGCGGACATCATGTCTCGAGACTAGGCAGCTCCTTACCGAAATACTGATTACTACAGGAGCAAACGGATACCTCTCACGGCTGAAGGTCAGAATACTATGCATATTTTCCTTATCCAGCAACAGAACAATGGGCAGGTGGATTCTCTGGCAGACGTGGACGACAAGGAGGTTACAGGAACAACAATAACAGTTGTAAAGATAGGAAAGGCTAGGAGGTCAGCTAGCACACATGTACCAAGATGCGGTCTGTGAGCAGACACCTCAGCAGTTGGTCACAGGGTCAAGGACGGTTAAATATGAGAACAGACGTTAGTGCTATTAGGTGCGTGCCATTAGATGCAAAAGGGAAGAATGGGGTTGCCATATGTGTGCGTTATCTATGTTGAAAGGTTGCATGCTTTTGGTAACAATATGTGAACAATGTCTGTGTGCGTGTGTGTGATGCGAATGCGTGCGATTCCATAAGTGCTCAGTCGCCATCTTTAGCAGCAAGCGAAAATTTCCAATTCCGATGGTACCAGTAACCGTCTGATTGCATACCCATCTCATCCTTCCCCTGAGTGTTGAGCGTCGGCCAGATCTCCTGGTAACTTCTCGTAGAGCCATTCTCCGTAGACCGTAATGATCCATCTGCGCCTCCGCACTGTTCACTTCCTCCCAAAGGCCCTGACAATATCTAACTTTTCATTCCTCATTCACCACCAAGTGATGCAGAGCCAGCCAATTGTTTTATTTCCCAACACACCGGCATGAACTGGAGAAAATATCCATAGGATGCTAACTACCCAGGACCTCTAAAGTAATGCTTGCCACTCTATACATCAGTAAATAAGAAAATACAGGTGGTATCATAAACCACGTTGTCTTCTTCTCCACTTCGCTCAATGTGTGTGTGTGTGGGAAGAGGGTATGTGTGTGGGAAGGGGGGGGGAGAATTTTCCGTGTGCTCTTTCCAATGCATTGTATAGGTTGGTCTTCATTTCTTTATGACTGTTCCTAATGCCGTGATGATATCCTCAGCCTGGTCTTGCCCCTGTTATGCGTCTATTCTAGATCTTCAACGTGACTCTCTGTGATAGGTGGTACTAGGGCAATGTCTTCAAATGGCTAAACCATCCCGTCTGTTATCCTTTAATAGCATGTACAAGTTTTCATCATCTTCTTCTTCTTTGCGATCGGTTTCGCATGCTTAGATCAGGTCTCGTGGATTGCCGGTATGAACTCGCATGTCAGCTGGAGGTCCTTCGTGGTTTTCCATAGTTTGTTCTGCACTCTTTGCTAATAGGGCCGGTTTTTTTTTCCCCCGGAGTTGCAGGTAGAGTGAGCTGGTCTGCAGAAAGTGCTCAGGTGCTTGTGGTCCTGTTTGACATGCACACTGTGGGGACTGTACAATCTTTATTTTATGTATGCGGTAGTTGAGCCTGCAGTGTCCTGTTTGTAAACGGACAATTGTTGTATGCTGCTTTCTGTTAAGTCTGCTAATGGGGTCTTGTGGATGTTTACTGTTTGTTTTTTCCACAATTCCTTGTATTTTCGTTTAAGTCTTCCTCTAATTTCTCCATTTTTAGTTTTATATCAATTTCTGAGCTCTTCTAAAACACCTCATCCATGTTATTAGGATCATGCGCTCATTAGTTTTCGTAGGGGTCTATGTGTGACACTGACAGCCTAAAGTTCCCCCCCCCCCCACACACACAAAGCTATTAACAGCAGCTGTGGTGTAGGGACTAGACTCTCGCCTGCGGATCTGAATGTCGTGGGTTCAGGTCTTGACAGAGCCGGACTCTTTTTTTTAAATGACCCTGGCTCTCGGGTAGATCCAGCTTTAAACAGATACCAGGTCCTGGGAAGTAAAGGTGGCCAGCGTGATGTTAACCATATCCCCAGCGAATGACGAGTGGTCCACATAATATAGGTATATCCCTACATGAACAAAACCCTTTTTTATGCGTGGTAAAAGGTCCTTTATGTTTCACTATACCTACCTACACACCTACCTACCGATCTACACACACACACACACCCACCCACCCACCCCCCCCCACCCACACACACACACACACACACACATACATACATACATACATACATACATACATACATACATACATTCCCTTTGTGGGTTCCGGGGTCCCATTGTGGGGAAAACAAGAATAGACCCACTGCCTGCCCAAGAGCATTCCGTAAGAGTAGACTAATTGGGAGCTTCCTCTGAAGTCAAAATACATTTGCCTGAGGCAAGGAACCAACAGTCTGAACTCGAATAACTCAGGCCTGTGAAATGGAGGTACATGCAACACTCAGTTTCTGGGACAGGGCTAGAGTCCAGAAGTGGACGAACAACCAAAACTTGTCCACCAGAGTTTACAGCCGGCCAACGCGAAGAAGAAGAAGAAGATAAACATATATATATATATATATATATATATATATATATATATATATATATATATATATATATATATATATATATATATATATATATATATATGCGCAGCAAAAGCCAGCAAGGAACGGTCATAAAAAGAGATGTGCATGAAATATAAATGAAAAGACCAGATCAGGGAGACACGGAATGAACACAGGACATTTCACTAGGAGGATGACTGTCACACATACTCACGTTCTTGTGGTTGACAAGCTTCATAAGCACGAACTCCCTGTAGGCTCTCTTTGCGTGTGTGACGTTCTGGAAAGGTCGACTCAGCTTCTTGATTGCCACATTAGTGTTCGTTAGTGTGTCGCATGCAGCGCTGTGAAATGGAAGACAGAAAGGATTCCGTTACACAATTCGGGAAAAATCAGAATCATTAGTGGCAAATGTTGTAGAATGAGAAATAAATCGTCGCATTTTTTATTCAAATGTAGTCTTTATTCTTCTTCTTCTTCTTCTTCTTCTTCTTCTTCTTCTCTTTTCTGTCTCGTTACCCCATCGAGGTTTTTTTTAAAAAAAAGGGATTGACTTCACTGCACATGGTTTTTTGATGTCTTATGGTTTGGTCCTTCTCCGCAGAACAGCTCCCCGCCGGTTGAGAGCCCCGCACAAAGCACGAACCCTGTAACATCAGCGACGATCTCCAGGGATCTGATCGATGCGGCCGTGAACGAACCCACGACCTTCAGAGCGCGCGGCAAACGCTTAACCACTTCGCCATGGAGACCCCCGGTACCTCATCGTAGAGGTGGGGAGGGGGCTGTAAGTATCTTCCGTGTGCTCTGTCTAATGCAATGTATTTAGTTGATTTTCATTTCATAACGGCTGTTACTTAACATGTGATTACTGAGGACTATCATCACAGCACTCCGGACAGATCCAAAGGTGTTCCCACCTGAACACGCCCGTTCTGCGCTGATTAATCAGGGGTGGGTGGGGAGGGAGGGGGGGGGTGTCTGGACGACGCTCAACGCACAAGAGAAATACCAGACATACACAGTCTGACAATTAGGTCATGAGACTAATTCCATCCCAATTAAAATCATCAACAGTTGCAGATATAACCTGTATTTTATTCAAAGTAAGCATCTTGTGCATTGATACAGTGAGTGGCACGATCTAACAAACACCGGAACGACCGCTGTAGTTTTTCTATCGTTATGGCTCTTAAAGTTGATGTTACCGCCCCTTGGATGCCATCAATATTGTCAAAGAAGCGCCTTTCAATGGCAACTTGAAATTTGGGAACAGAAAATAGTCACAGGGAGACAAATCTGGGGAACAGGGTGGATGGTTGAGAACACGCATCTGATTTTAGGCCACAAATTCCTGTACAATTACCGCCCTTTGAGGTGGTGCATTGTCATGAAGAAGGTAAAAAGTTGCCAGGTGTTGAATATAAACCGACAAGGAACTTTCTTTCTTGCCCAAATCTTCAACTAAAATGTTACGAATAGTCTCTGTATTAACACCAAATTCATCTACCATCACCCTCACAGTCTAACAATGATCTTCTTGTATCCGTTCTCTGAATTAAGCAATGAGTTCCTCATTACGAACAGAAATTTGGGGGGGGGGGGGGTCCATGTCTAGTTGTAGTAGTAATCATTTCCACACCTCTTTTCAATCGTCAATACCAGCTGAAAATATGTGCACGAGATAAACAAGTATCCCCATAAACTTGTCGCATCAAGTAAACTTGTCGCATCAAGTGAACTGTCACAATGGCACTTTCTCTGAGTTTTAAACAGAATTGAATGTTAGTTTTTTTGCTAAATGCTGAATACGTAACAATGCACGTCTGACTAGGTTAACAAAATGGCGAGTGGTCTGATGTCTGCTTATCGGGCGGTGATGACAAGTTTCCAGATCATAAACGAAGGTTGCCTCTTTGGATTCCATGCTTTGATTCAAAGATGGCATTTTTGTCTTGGCCATAATAAAATCAGTCTCATCACTTAGTTGTAGAATCTGTACAAACAATCAAACTGGTTTTGGTACCATCGACAGTGGAAATCTGTGCTAGCCGCTGAAAACTGGGACTGGACACTTTCGGGAATTTCCCGAATGCTGTGATGTCGAGACTCAATTAAACAATCAACATTCAACCAGACAACTTGTGTGTGTCCTTAGTGAAATGTTCACAACTAGCTGCTGCAGGCTGCACTCTCATATCCTCCAACCTGGACTCGGATATTGATTTGTTTGTTATTTCACATGTTTTGAGGAGCTATGATGAGAAGGAGAAAACTGGAGTACATCATGACAGTTAGAAAGTTGCAGGGGAGGAGACGCTTCAGTGTCATCAGAGAGAACAAATACTGGACAGTCTGACATCATGGCATGGAGGATCATCTGTGTCAGAGTTGACTGAACCTACACGAGAACAAAAGGTTGTGGACAGACATGACTACCAATGCCACTAAGAATGGGCCTTAAAAAGAAGAGCTATGGTAGCTGTATATGCTGGCAGATGTATTTATGTGTGTCTTTATTACCTCTATTATGTCTTACAGGGAACAAAAGAGTTTACTGGTGGACAGCCCGTTATGTTTCCAGAGTAGTGGTCCCGTTTAAATCCCTAATTAGAGAGAATTTATCAAGGGGATAAGATGTTCAAGTCAGTGCTCACAACTTAATACATTTAGATTTGTTAGGTCGGGGAGAAAGGCTTTGAGATGATCATCAATGTCCAAAATATCCTTCGTGTCTATTTCGGTGCATTTTATGAAGAGAAATACGCAGGGAAACCAATTAGCACACCTGATGCGAAAACAGCACGAGAAACACAAAGAGATACAAACACCGACATTTCAGGATGGCTTGACCATATAGCGTAAGTGACAGAAACAAGAAATCATTTGATCCCAGACAAGTTGAGTTGACAGATGCGAGACGGTGAACCACAGCCAACCAAGCTTATCTGCATGGCAAATTCTGTTGACATTATGCCTTATACATCACAGGGCACACGCCTTATACATCACAGGGCACATGCCTTATACATCACAGGGCACATGCCTTATACATCACAGGGCACATGCCTAATACATCACAGGGCACATGCCTAATACATCACAGGGCAACATGCCTTATACATCACAGGGCACATGCCTTAAACATCACAGGGCACATGCCTTATACACCACAGGGCACTACTGTCCACCAGTTCACGGTCCTATACACATTGTCCAACAACATTATGTTTCTATATTTCTCAATATGTGTGAGCTAACTTGAAGAAGACAGGGGGTAGTTTCTGAAATCTTTCTATTGGTGAGTTTCTTTACTTCTATCAATGTGCCAGTATTCCCCGTGTAGGCTACATACTCCATTTTAGCCTCCCTCCCCCTCCCCCACCCCCAAACGGAACCCCGGCCTCGCTAACACGCGGGCTAAAAAAGGCGTCTGCTGAAATAGGATGCAATTGACCGAAAGACTCAGATATAACAGCCTAGCTGTAAACCATAACACACCATGTCGACTGTCCTTTTAAGAGCGAACACAGAAGTTGATTAGCAAGGTCAACAGGGGATCTGATGGTCCGTGGGACATATAAGGCCCTTTGCTCTAGACCTGCTATAACTTTGTCTTTACCGGACAGCCCTCGTTTGTATTTGCGAACCCAAGGATGAGGACAGAACCTAAACACCCGACTTGCGACATCCCAAACCCGTCACCACATAGATACCACTAGCTAATGCCTTCTGTAGGATTAGATGGAGAAAGCCTTGCACTAAGCCTCACCTTCATCAGCTCCCGATTCACACATACACTCTCCATAAATCTCGAATGTCAAAACTGTGAGGGAAAAAAATCATGTCGCAAGAGTCGACTAGTTGGGAGCTTCCTTTGAAATCGGAGTGCATCTGCCCGAGAGACAAAGAACAACCAACCGTACACAGATAAGCCAATAAAACGGATGTACACGCAAAACTCATGCCCTGGCACAAAGCCAAAAGTCTAAATGGACGAACAACCAGGACTCTCCACCAAAGCCTACAACCCTTGAACAAAGAAGAACTGATTTAATACCCTTTTCTCCCCCCCCCCCTTCCCCCCCCCCCCAATCGAATCAAGCTTAAAAAACCAGGACTTCAGCAAAAGCACCACCTGCCTTGTTATGTGACACCAGCAGTTCACGGACACCAGAACGCCCAGGATAATCCAAGCCCCAGGGGAATCCCCATGTGTCCAACTCCACAGCTGTCAGTTAAAACAGATGAGCGACCACCCTGAGGAGTGATCGATGTTGGCTGTAAGCCGCACACACAGTGCTGTCAAGAGTAACTCTTCTGTGAGAACTTCTAGCACTGCAGCTGTGAGCTGGCCTACCGCGTCAGTGTCATCAATATATATTGCTGTCTGCTTTTTCAAGTGGGTAAATAGCTGTTTTTCAACCTACGGCGCAAATTGATGCTTAACTCTTATTTTGTATAGATCAATCAGCACTCAACGGGTGATGTGTTCAACATCACGCTAGCCGCCTTGACTTCCCAGAACATTATATGACACCCATTTGAGGCTAGATCGACCTGGCAGCCAAGGTCAATTGTGAATAGGAGAAGAAGAAGATAATCGGCATCGATGCAGACTGGAACCCAAGAGAACAAAAAATATGTGATCTGCATATCTAGCAACGGCGCTATTCTTCTGACTTCCTGGTTTGCTGGAAGTTGTTAGGTTCTCTCCCTAAACCCCCCATTTGTGACTGCGCCATACCATTGAATTTCGTTGTACGCTCTGCTGACTGACAAACGCTGAAAATCCCGTTTGTTCGTCGACTACACAATACCCCCGCCCCCTTTTCCATTTCATTTTCTCTATCTACACACACACATACACATATCTCTACATACATACATACATACATACATACATACATACATACATACATACATACATACATACATACATACGTACATACATACGTACGTACGTACGTACGTACGTACGTACGTACGTACGTACGTACGTACGTACGTACGTACGTACGTACGTACGTACGTACGTACGTACGTACGTACGTACGTACGTACGTACATACATACATACATACATACATACATACATACATACATACATACATACATACATACATACATACATACATACATACATACATACATACATACATACATACATACATACATACATACATACATACATACATACATACATACATACATACATACATACATACATACATACATACATACATACATACATACATACATACATACATACATACATACATACATACATACATACATACATACATACATACATACATACATACATACATACATACATACATAC